GTCTTCAATAACTTCTTCTTTAAAGGAAAACCCCCTTTTTAACTTCTCCCAGGCTGACTGTAATCTAACCTTCACTGATACCGGGTCGAACTGCGTCTCGAACGCCGAGTGGACCTACCAGCAAGGCAGTAGATGTTCTCCAGCTGGAGTTCTTTGGTCTTTAGGGCTGTTTTCCTGGAAATTCTTTGGAGACTCTTAAGGCCTTTCTCCCCCGGAAGGTCTTAAGGATTGAAGCTTTTGTACAGGGGAAGCTTGCACACATCCTATACATAAGCTTACCTTGCGGAGACTAACTAAAAATTGCTCCCTTCCCAATTGCCCTAAGCAAGGGGCGGGACCAAAACTTAACAATGATGGACAGGTGACTTGCCCTATGACTGCAACCAAAGAAGCCACCTATCTGCAGAGTCCCTGAAACCTAGGACTGCAAGCAAACATTTAATACAAAGCAAATAAAGTTGGAGCTCCTGGTACAGCTGTACCAGAACAACTACATCAGCTATTGCTGCAAGTAATGACAGTGTGAATAGATTGCCAATATTTGCTTGAGATAGTGCTTGCAGTTCTGGAGGGACTCTTGTTGATTTTTTGCATCTCATAGACTTAGCGTGGGGATTTGGTTAACCAGTTAAAATTCATGAGTAAACCAGGTTTTTTTAAAAAATCTGAAACATTTCAGGGGGGGGGTTGAACCCCTAACACCCCCCCCCCTCGCTACAGGCCTGCACACACACACAGAACACATATACACAGACTGGGCTGCAGCAACACTTGGCAGGGGGCGGCTAGTATATTAATATAGGAAGAATAAGTGCTCATATTTTGTTTTTTAAAGGGCATTCTTGAAGAATCTTAACACATACTTGACTCTGCTTATAACTGCAATTCAAAAATTAAGTCTTCACTGTCCCATTCCCATTTTGTGTTATCTATATTTTAAAAATCCTAAATATACTCGTTCCTGTCGGTACTAAGGGAAGGAATCATCTGATTTCTCAGGTCAGCTAATATTGGTGAAGGGAAGAGTGCACTTCATGGCTACCTTGATTTATTTATTTACCTCATTTATGTCTCGCTCTTCTCAACCCCGAAGGGGTCTCGGGGCAGCCTTACAAAGGCATGGATACTCAGGAGGAGAGGAACCGTGCGCGAAATACAGTCAGTCTTCTGTATCCATGGGTTCTCCATCTATGGGTTCAACCAATTATCACTTGAAAATATTCGAGGGGGAATTCCAAAAAGGCAGATCAAGAAACTGGGCTTCAGTGGAAATGTTTTGGCCAATAGTTGCTTATTTTCTCCCTGCTTCCTAGAACCGAGGGAAAGGAGGTGCCGTCAGCAAGCTCATGCAGAGCATGGCCGCCGAGGAGGATTTTGAGCCAAACCAAGATAGCAGCTTCTCCGAGGACGAAAACATGCCATTGAATGTGCTTCTGGAGCGGCCGCTGACTCCAGGTGAGGGCTAGCAGATTGCCTCCATGGATCCTCATGTCTTTCTTGCGCCTCTCTCCAAAAATGGCAGAAGAGGGAAATGTATGTGCCCATGTACGAGGGGTATTTTTTAAGTAAGGTCCGTTTGAACATAAGTACACAACGAAAGTTTATTTCAAAAAAGTAAATTTATTTACAGAAAGTACATACTTCACTCTATTTTTCGACATAGTTGCCAAGTTTGTTCAAAGACTCATCATACCTCTGAACCAATTTTAAAATACCTGTTGGGGTTCGGCCTGAGTTTGAACTTGAACCTAATTCTCTGTTTGTTCCTCCTGATGCTAATGAAAATATATTTACTGAT